CACACACACACACACACACACACACACACACACACACACACACACACCATGCAGTGGCAGACTACAATCAGGCCTAGAATCGCACAGGCATTTGGTTTAATCAAAGCTGACTCACAAAACAATAAAGACAAACCCCGGTGTATTTCAACAGTACCATCCTTCTTTTGGGAGGCTTAGGAAGGGTGAGGGCTGGGTGGAGGGGAAAATCCACTCTCATACACAACAGGGGCTGGCCCACCATTGCTAGGATCTCAGCAGCACCAGGGGAGAGAATGCTAAACAGGGCTTTCCAGCTCTGTTCGGGGGACTGGAGGGGAAAGTTGGGAAGCCAGCCAATTCCCCACTGGATTCAAAACCTGAGAAATCTAAGTCGGCAGGGTTAAGTGTGTATTGAATACAAAAGCACTGAGTACATTTGATTTTAATAGTGAGCAAGAAATAATAAATAGAGGGTTTATAAAGAGTGTTACATGTGGATCCACAGCAGCCTGCTTCTCCCTGGTGGCTCCAGCCACTGCCCTTCATCCAGGTGACAACAGTATGATTTTCTTTTGCTCTTTCCTTCTCCTTAGTAAGAAGACTCCTCAGATCCTCTGATCACAGCTGAGCTCCAGCCACAGGTGCTGGGCTATACAATCCCTGTTTTCAAGGTCAACTGCCTACCACCCCAAAACCTTGCCACCCAGGCCAGCAGCTGTTATACTTAGCCATGGTTATAGACAGTGACCTGACAAACACTGGCATGGAGTCATGTCAGGCTGTCTTCTCTGTGGTCTTAGGAGTTCTATGTCCCAGGTCTCCCTAGTTTCTTTCCACCCAGTGTGGACTGGTGTCTACTGGACACATTGGCATGAATGCATCCAGAATAAATAATCCCTATGGCCTGGGGACCCTGGGTCGTAGACAACACATCTAGCCTCCAAGTCTCTCTCTCAGTGGCTCTGCTTGTAGAGGAGGGGGAGCCCCGAGAAGAAGGCTAGTCAGTCACCTTTTGTCCTGAAAAGGGCAGAGGTAACTGCTATCCAGTCTTCTTCTGGGACAACATTTGCTTTCTCAGGTTCTCAGATGCCTGGGTACCCTACAGACTACCCAAGTTCCCACATTGGTAAGACTAAAGTCCACTAGAGCTGTCTCTAGTACTTGAGTTTTACTCAGAGAACCACCATGCCTTGAATCACATTAGTTCCCTTGTTGTCCTGGAGCCGAGGCCTCAAGGCTGTTCCTGAGGAGCCATCAGCTACCTATGGCTGCCAAGAGCTTTCTGTTGAGAACTCAAGAGATAGGTCTGATCTCAAAGGCCAGCTTGGTCACTTACTATCTCTGTGGTCTTGGCTACGAATTAGGGAAATGACATTTGCCTTCTGTGGGCCAGAGCAAAGGTAGACAAAACAATATGGTGTGCTTAGCTCAATCCTAGGCACATTCAGGGGTGCTTATACTTCCCAACTCTTATCCCTGCCATGACATAATGCTGCCCAAAGACCTCCCAGGAAGTTCATCTGGTCAGACTCAGTCAATTTTTTCCAACTAAAGTCTCTGTCCTGTATGCTGAGCTCATCTCATTTCCATAGAGACAGAGGCGCCAGGAACTGGGAACACCAGAAGGACCTACAGTTCTCCCGTGTTACAGTTTGGTAATCCTTGCTAAGGGATAAGCTACCCACCGTATTTTCCGAAATGGGGGAACCACAATGCTTAGTACATAGAGCTACTATGAATGAGGGTCTGTTATAAAAAGAGGGTGGGACAGAGAGCTTTAGTCCTTGCCCCAAATCATACAGCCTCAGCACTTATGGCCAGTTCTGATGAATCCCCAAATCCACATTGCTAAGGTTTGCACTGAGATATTTGCTATATTCTATGAGATTTGACCCAGAAGTGCTTCATGTCTTCCGAAGTGAGTCTTTTGCTGCTTATGCCTGTCTTCTGTTGACAGGGGGCATAAAATTCCAGCTCCCTGGCAGGTGCGCCAGTTGGGGTTTTTGAATCACATTCTCATAGGGGCACTGAATGGGTCTATCACCTCATGGGTCTGGAATGTCAGATTCTAAACCTACAAATGGAGCCATTTAAATTACCTTCTCTACCCCAAATCTTTAACTTCGGTACTCAGTGGGGAAAGAGGAAGAGACAGAACCACAGAACATCTGTTGTCTACCCAGGCAGTAGCTACCCAGTGGATGGTGGGTATGTACACCATGGATTCAAATAGATACCTGGTTTAGCCTCGTCCCTGCACAGTATGGTCTTTGTGCCTTCAGAAGATGGATCCAGAGGAATGTACTGGGAAGGGCCAGTACACTCGTTTTTGAGGTGCTCTGACTATAGCTGACTCCTGTGCCTGAGCATGGCTACCTCAGACAATAGACTGGGGAACCTTCCCTTGGGAAGTGGTCTCCATCAAACTATCCTAGTGGGTTTCTCACTCTGAGACATTTATGTCCCAGTAAGGTCAAGGTCATGGAAAAAGAAGCTCACGGACGCTAAGTACTGATGCTACAAGTCAAACCAAGGGACCTGCTCGTGCTAGGCAAGCACTCTGTCACTGGGCCACAACTCCAGCCAAGGCATTTCTCTTTAAAACACACGGGCTTTTCCCCACGTCCTACGCTGCTCACAGATGTTGGCTAGTACTCCGTACTTTGTTCTGTTTTCCAACCCTCCCTTAGTACGGTTTTGTGGACATGCATCTCTCCTTGTGATGCCTAGCAGGGGACAGTGCCTGTCTCCATTTAACGGGCACTATGTTTTCTGCTCTTGGG